AGAGAGAGGAGAGAGAGAGAGGAGAGAGAGAGAGAGGAGAGAGAGGAGAGAGAGAGAGAGAGGAGAGAGAGGAGAGAGAGAGAGAAGGGCGGCTGCCTGTGTCGGTGGCGGGCCGGGGTCTGACCTTTCTTCAGGCCGGTGTACGAGTTGACGCGGTTGTCGACGAGCAGCACCAGCCCCGACAGCGAGTTGGAGTACAGGTCCAGCGCCGTCTGGATGCGGCGGGGGTCCACCTCGTCCGTCCTACAACAGCGTCACAAAGCTTGTCGGTTTGGTTGGGAAATTACATCCAAAGGAAGACATTTCTCCACTCATATCACATATTTTTCCAAAGCAATTTTTCACTACCAACTTAACAAAGAGTATTTACATGTATGGTCTTCAACATGATATTTATACATATGTTACAGGGAAAGTGAAAGCCCGGGCATTTTGCAAAATGCCTACGCAATTCGCAAAATGACTGACCGGCTAGGCAGTTCGCAAAATGCCTAGGCAATCTGTAAAGTGCCTGACCCGCCAGACATTTTACAAAATGCCCAAGCAGTTTTCAAACACAGCCTGAAACTATTTTCCCAGGCACTAGGCAGTTTGCGAAATGCCTGACATCAAACTCACACCAGCGACGACATGTAGGCATCATCTGTAACTGCCGCTTACGGTAGTTAATCGCTGTCGACGCGCACCAAGTGGGGGGGACACTGCGCTCTCCGGGTAGGGCCGCCGGGTCGCCAAGCCACAGCGGCCGACGGGCGTGGTTCCGTTGGTAAACACGTGTTCGGTACAATGATTCCACTGTTTCAAGAACCCATGATGGCTTTTTTAAAATACTTTGGGTGGATATTGATCACAAAAGAATACACTTTCGGTCCATGGACGTTTGACTGCCACACGTCTACGTTATCAATCGTCTCTGCCCGAACAGTAGCTCACCTGCCGCGGTATACCGTACCTGCCGCGGTATACCGTGCGGTATACCGCACCTGCCGCGGTATACCGTACCTGCCGTGGTATACCGTATGTACCTGCCGCGGTATACCGTATGTACCTGCCGTGGTAGGAGAAGGGCTGCAGCACGTCCGCGGCGATCAGGCGCAGGTTGTACATCTGTTTGAGCTGCGTGCCCAGGTGGATGGTGAAGCTCTCCTCGAGGGCAGGCGGCGACGACGGCGGCGGCGGCGGCGGCACATCGGCTGTCCCGGCCGGCGACACCAGCGGCCTGCGGGACAGCCGGGGAGCAGCTCAGAGCAGCGTGTCGGCTGTCACCGACACGGACCTGTCGGCTGTCACCGACACGGACCTGTTGGCTGTCACTGTCACGGACCTGGGGGTGTGCGGACATGTGCGGCCACTGACCTGGGAACGTCCGGCTCGCCCAGCTGGATTCGCTCGTGGACGGCGGTCAGCCAGTTCCAGAAATTGTCCCTCTGCGTCTGCCGCAGCGTCAGCAGGTGGCTCTCCCAGCGGCTCTGGCGACAGGCGCGCTGACGTCAGCACAGACTCTCCCAGCGGCTCTGGCGACAGACGCGCTGACGTCAGCACAAACTCTCCCAGCGGCTCTGGCGACAGGCGCGCTGACGTCAGCACAGACTCTCCCAGCGGCTCTGGCGACAGACGCGCTGACGTCAGCAGATGGCTCTCCCAGCGGCTCTGGCGACAGACGCGCTGACGTCAGTAGATGGCTCTCCCAGCGGCTCTGGCGACAGACGCGCTGACGTCAGCAGATGGCTCTCCCAGCGGCTCTGGCGACAGACGCGCTGACGTCAGCACAGACTCTCCCAGCGGCTCTGGCGACAGACGCGCTGACGTCAGCAGATGGCTCTCCCAGCGGCTCTGGCGACAGACGCGCTGACGTCAGCACAGACTCTCCCAGCGGCTCTGGCGACAGACGCGCTGACGTCAGCAGGTGGCTCTCCCAGCGGCTCTGGCGACAGACGCGCTGACGTCAGCACAGACCCTCCCAGCGGCTCTGGCGACAGACGCGCTGACGTCAGCAGGTGGCTCTCCCAGCGGCTCTGGCGACAGACGCGCTGACGTCAGCACAGACCCTCCCAGCGGCTCTGGCGACAGACGCGCTGACGTCAGCAGATGGCTCTCCCAGCGGCTCTGGCGACAGACGCGCTGACGTCAGCACAGACCCTCCCAGCGGCTCTGGCGACAGACGCGCTGACGTCAGCAGATGGCTCTCCCAGCGGCTCTGGCGACAGACGCGCTGACGTCAGCACAGACTCTCCCAGCGGCTCTGGCGACAGACGCGCTGACGTCAGCACAAACTCTCCCAGCGGATCTGGCGACAGGCGCGCTGACGTCAGCACAGACTCTCCCAGCGGCTCTGGCGACAGACGCGCTGACGTCAGCAGATGGCTCTCCCAGCGGCTCTGGCGACAGACGCGCTGACGTCAGTAGATGGCTCTCCCAGCGGCTCTGGCGACAGACGCGCTGACGTCAGCAGATGGCTCTCCCAGCGGCTCTGGCGACAGACGCGCTGACGTCAGCACAGACTCTCCCAGCGGCTCTGGCGACAGACGCGCTGACGTCAGCAGATGGCTCTCCCAGCGGCTCTGGCGACAGACGCGCTGACGTCAGCACAGACTCTCCCAGCGGCTCTGGCGACAGACGCGCTGACGTCAGCAGGTGGCTCTCCCAGCGGCTCTGGCGACAGACGCGCTGACGTCAGCACAGACCCTCCCAGCGGCTCTGGCGACAGACGCGCTGACGTCAGCAGGTGGCTCTCCCAGCGGCTCTGGCGACAGACGCACTGACGTCAGCACAGACCCTCCCAGCGGCTCTGGTGACAGACGCGCTGACGTCAGCACAGACTCTCCCAGCGGCTCTGGCGACAGACGCGCTGACGTCAGCACAGACTCCCAGCGGCTCTGGCGACAGACGCGCTGACGTCAGCAGGTGGCTCTCCCAGTGGCTCTGGCGACAGACGCGCTGACGTCAGCACAGACCCTCCCAGCGGCTCTGGCGACAGACGCGCTGACGTCAGCACAGACTCTCCCAGCGGCTCTGGCGACAGACGCGCTGACGTCAGCACAGACTCTCCCAGCGGCTCTGGCGACAGACGCGCTGACGTCAGCACAGACTCTCCCAGCGGCTCTGGCGACAGACGCGCTGACGTCAGCACAGACTCTCCCAGCGGCTCTGGCGACAGACGCGCTGACGTCAGCAGATGGCTCTCCCAGCGGCTCTGGCGACAGACGCGCTGACGTCAGTACAGACTCTCCCAGCGGCTCTGGCGACAGACGCGCTGACGTCAGCAGATGGCTCTCCCAGTGGCTCTGGCGACAGACGCGCTGACGTCAGCACAGACTCTCCCAGCGGCTCTGGCGACAGACGCGCTGACGTCAGCACAGACTCTCCCAGCGGCTCTGGCGACAAACGCGCTGAAGTCAGCACAGACTCTCCCAGCGGCTCTGGCGACAAGCGCGCTGACGTCAGCACAGACTCTCCCAGCGGCTCTGGCGACAAACGCGCTGACGTCAGCACAGATTCTCCCAGCGGCTCTGGCGACAGACGCGCTGACGTCAGCACAGACTCTCCCAGCGGCTCTGACGGGCTCACGTCAGCACCGACTCTGCACCAGTGGACCCACCCGGACCAGGGCCCTGTTTCACCGGTGATAGCAGCACGCTGCTATCACATTGCGCGAGCTGACGTAATTTGATGTCGCACTAATGACGTTTCGTGTAATCCGTGAGCTTTTTCATAGCTGCGTTTGGAACAGAGTTGCTGTCTCTTTGAATGCGTTTGATACATTTGTTTGATCGCACGGCCGTGAAGATGTTAGCAGCAATATTTGATGACATCACACAGATTGACGACGTCATGGTTTGTTGATGTTTCCATGGAAACCCAATTTGACACGTGTTGGATAGCAGCGTGCTGCTATTACCGGTGAAACAGGGCCCGGGATGTCGGACCCACCCGGACCCAGCTGGGCCCCCTGTCGGACCCGCTCACCTGGACCAGTGGACCCACCCGGACCCGGTTATCGGACCCACCCGGACCCTGCTGGACCCACCCGGACCCACCTGGACCAGCTGCGAGTCGTCAAACTGGCGGGCGGCCAGTGCGTTGACCTGCTCTGGACTGCGAGACGAGACGGCCAGATCCATATCGGCGCCGTGCCTGCGCGCGGCCGGGCCATCAGTGATCAGGCGTGCCTTCCGAAACACCGCGGCCGACACCGCACAGCACACGCACAGCACGCGGCACACGCAGCCAGCGACATCGCTAGCGCAACCCTCCGATATCGGGGCAAGGTGTGTAGGGAGGAAGGGGTGTGACCGGGTCGCCCATATCCGACCGCTTCCGCTCCCCTTGTATCCCAGTCCCGCTCCGCGCCTGGACACTGGCTGCGGCGGAGCCGGGCGGTCAGCTGCCCCGCCGCTATCACCAGCTGGCAGTTACCCCTCTGCCATGACCAGCTGGCCTACCGCCCGTTACCAGCTACCAGTCACTAGTACCAGCTTCCCGTCACTAGTACCAGCTGCCCGGCACCATGACCAGCCACCCACCACCCGTTACCAGCTGCCCCGTCACTATTACTAGCTACTCCGCCCAGTACCAGCTGCCCACCACCCGTTACCACCTGCCCGCTGCTATTGTCAGCTGGCCCGTCACTATTACTAGCTGCCCCGTCACTATTACCAGCTGCCCACCACCCGTTACCAGCTGCTGCCCTGTCACTATTACCAGCTGCCCACCACCCGTTACCAGCTGCTGCCCTGTCACTATTACCAGCTGCCCACCACCCGTTACCAGCTGCTGCCCTGTCACTATTACCAGCTGCCCACCACCCGTTACCAGTTGCTGCCCGGCGCTATTACCAGCTGCCCACCACCCGTTACCAGCTGCCCGCTGCTATTGCCAGCTGTCCCGTCACTATTACTAGCTGCCCTGTCACTATTACCAGCTGCCCACCACCCGTTACCAGCTGCTGCCCGGCGCTATTACCAGCTGCCCACCACCGGTTACCTGGCAGCCAGCTGGGCCAGCTCGCTGTCGCGCTGCTGCACGGCGGCCGCCATCTCGCAGCTGGCCGTCTGCTCCAGGGTCAGCATCGGTCGCAGGCCGGCCGACAGCGCCACCTGGCTGTAGATGTCGGCGCACAGCTCCTCGGTGCTGGTTGTGTTGGGACCGGCGTGCGCCAGCACCTCCTGGGGGCAGAGCAGCAGTCACCAGCGGCACTGACAGTTACCAGCGGCACCCACAGAGACTCAGTCACCAGCGGCACTCACGGAGACTCAGTCACCAGCGGCACTGACAGTCACCAGTGGCACTCACAGAGACTCAGTCACCAGCGGCACTCACGGAGACTCAGCCACCAGCGGCACTGACAGTCACCAGCGGCACCCACAGAGACTCAGTCACCAGCGGCACTGACAGAGACTCAGCCACCAGCGGCACTGACAGTCACCAGTGGCACTCACAGAGACTCAGTCACCAGCGGCACTCACGGAGACTCAGTCACCAGCGGCACTAAGACAGACTCAGTCACCAGCGGCACTGACAGAGACTCAGCCACCAGCGGCACTGACAGTCACCAGTGGCACTCACAGAGACTCAGTCACCAGCGGCACTCACGGAGACTCAGTCACCAGCGGCACTGAGACAGACTCAGTCACCAGCGGCACTCACAGAGACTCAGTCACCAGCGGCACTCACAGAGACTCAGTCACCAGCGGCACTCACAGAGACTCAGTCACCAGCGGCACTGAGACAGACTCAGTCACCAGCGGCACTGAGACAGACTCATTCACCAGCGGCACTGACAGTCACCAGCGCATGGTAGGCGATCGGACCGGTCTAGCCTCGCGAAACCTCAGACACTTTTTTCCGAAAATTGGAAAACAACGCATACTAGTCGACAGAAAATTCATCAAAGATTACGATTAGTGCATTTGCATGGCTCAGGAGACATTTTTTCGTCGACAAAAGTATCGTTAAAGACAGCGTTCCGTAACACTTCTTAAGGGGGATAATCACAGCCGATTTTTACGCTCTTTGAATAGGTATTTTGCGGAACGATGAAATTGCTAGGTGTTGAGCATCCATTTTGCATGGAAAGTGATATTTAGATGTTTAGACGATTCCGCCATAGAAAGCAAGTAGACAAAATTAGTTCAAAATGTCTTATAATCAGATTAACTTTTTATATATTTTTCCTACCACTGAACATTACGTTCACTGAATTAACCAAGCCCAGCAAAAAAAGTTTTACGAGGATGAACTGAAAATAATGTTGCATCGCATGCACTAAGACACTATCTATTAGGGGAGCCAGTGAAAATTTGCAGCCACTTGCAGCCCTGGCATCCAGACACCTTTTTCTTCTAAGGGTTGGCCGTGGCTTGGTGCACTTGAGCACAAGTGGTAAATGCCACAAAGGGTGTTTTCGAGATAGCTCAAAACACCCAGGCAATAGAGAATTGCAACTTGGCATACCTGACCTTTGATGCACGCCGAATCTTGTGACACCAACTGCACTTTCAAGTCAGGTCAGGTCACTGACCTATGACGTCATAAATGAACCTCTGCACGATCCTCAGATGTCGCAACCTCGCAACGCTCTCAGTGCCAGAGTAACTTTCACAGGGAGGTGAGACTTGCAGGACTTATTGTCCTTTAGAGGTCTTACAACTTTAATATCTCAGATTTTTCCTAAATGTCACTTAAAGTCAGGTTGGTCACGTGACCTCACCTTTAAGTCAATGGGGAAATATGAAAACTGTTATTTTGGCGCCAGGAATGATATTCAATTGTCTCAAGTACGTGGAATCGTTACTTCATGCACTCCTTGCAAGATCTGATGCTGCATTTTTGCATTGTTGACCTTGCATGACGTCATTTATGACGTCACTAGGGTCATACGAGTTTTTCGTCAATAACTCCCGATCAAATTGAGCTAGAGAGTCGACAAGGTCACCAATGGACTCCGGAAGACCTGCCGAATCGAATGATATGCGATATGACCTCCTTCGACCAACTTCGTGATTTGAAGACCTCTGACCTGACCTTGACTCGAGGTCAACACCTTACGGTGGCCTCACCTGAACAAAAAGTATACCATTCGACGCGCCTGAGCAAGGCAAACACGACTATTTCAAAATCGTGGTTCTGCGGCCATTTTTTGCGAAGTTATTTACCAAAAACCAAACCCGCTGCTTGGGTCACGTTATGAAATGGGGGCTTGCCGGGCGAGATTTACGCTGTTTCATGATATGTATAAATTGGTAGGGCATAATCGTTTGAATAAAAAGTTGGTTGGGAAGCAATTTTCTACGGAGGTACACACCATTTCAATGTCCTACCCAGCTCATATCGTCATAAATTTCGACCTACCCTCAAAAGTATTCATGCGTTATTCGAGCGGCAATGAGGCAAATTGCAAGCTCACCACAGAGCACAAATCCTAAAAGAGATAGTCCTTATTTAAAACATATGCTCATTGGATATTCAAGAAGGTTGCTCCTAAATATTGTGGTTCTAGCTTCAAAAACATGGATGTTATGAATGCCGATAGGTTTCGCGAGGCTACACCGGCCGGATCGCCCACTGTGCAGCGGCACTCACAGAGACTTAGTCACTAGCGGCACTGACAGTCACCAGTGGCACTCACAGAGACTCAGTCACTAGCGGCACTGACAGTCACCAGCGGCACTCACGGAGACTCAGTCACCAGCGGCACTCACGGAGACTCAGCCACCAGCGGCACTGACAGTCACCAGCGGCACTGAGACAGACTCAGTCACCAGCGGCACTCGCGGAGACTCAGTCACCAGCGGCACTCGTGGAGACTCAGTCACCAGCGGCACTGAGACAGACTCAGTCACCAGCGGCACTGAGACAGACTCAGTCACCAGCGGCACTGAGACAGACTCAGTCACCAGCGGCACTGAGACAGACTCAGTCACCAGCGGCACTGAGACAGATTCAGTCACCAGCGGCACTGAGACAGACTCAGTCACCAGCGGCACTGACAGACTCAGTCACCAGCGGCACTCACAGAGACTCAGTCACTAGTCCAACAAAAGCAAAAATGGACGTTCCATATGACGATGGCCTGGCTAAACCATAGTAGGTACAGCCGTTTGGCGAGCCCATAACACTGATCCATGCCATTTATTCCCCTAGTAAAAATGCTCGTCGCGAGTTCACGAGGGAACTACGACTTCGCTACAAACCAAGAACCCATGACAAAGAAAGTTAATCATACGTTCAGTCATGCCGCCTAAAAAAAATCAACACATGCGGTTCTGAGACACCTGAGCGAGCGTCGTTTGAGCGAACGACATTTGAGAGATGGGTACTTAGACTTACATTTTCAGCGATCATCAATTTAAGCGATTGGCTTTCTGTGCGATTGTCAATTCGGCCAGTTCAGTTCAATAACGGCCATAATCAACAAAGGCGAGAACCAGAATCACCGAAGCCAGTTTGAGTGAATATGTACCTATATTTTGGTCAATGAAAGACGAATTGGGTTACAGCGAAACCAATTTTAACAAAAAATAATTATTTGCCATTTTCCGGATACTTTGTCATCAATTTAACATGATTTTCAAATTTCAGAACAGACGGCTGACTGCCGGCAGGAATAATGTCTGTCTTACGACTCCAACGAGCCGGACGACGGCCGCTGGAGGATCCCACCTTCCAGCGGTCGGGGCTGGTGTTCTGCCGGACCCGTGCAGGGACAAGCGGGTCCTCCGAGGGGCGCACACTGGGCCGGGGGTCCGGAAAAGTGCTAGAAATTATTTGTGATTGAGTTGTTGATCTCAGTGACAAGCAAACATGCTAAAAACGAAGTGGGGCTGCTTCACCCTCGCCGGACCTATTGTCGGGACCCCCCACCCCCTCGGCCGGCCGAGGGGGGAGGGTTGGTACGACCCCTTTTTGCCGTTTCGCCCCTAATGGAGCTAGAGCCTCGCGGAAAAAACAAGCGTGTGCGCCGTTTCAAGGCGGAACGATTGATACCCGATTTTAAGGTCCCAGGTCAACCGGTAACCTCTGAGGTGAAGTCAAAAAGCCCAAGGTAGGGTTTGGTTTTTGGCAAATAATTTCGCAAAAAATGGCCGCAGAGCAGCGATTTTGGCACCATCGTGTTCGCCTGGCTCGGGCGCGTCGAATGGTATACTTTTTGTTCGGGTGAGGTCAACTTAAGGTATTGACCTCGAGTCAAGGTCAGTTCAGAGCCCATCAGGCCACGAACTTAATCGAAGGAGGTCGTATCGCATATCATTCGATTCGGGAGGTCTTCCCGAGTTCATTGGTGGCTTTCCCGAGTCGCTGGCTCAATTTGATCATGAGTTATTGACGAGAAACTCCTATGACCGGTGTGACGTCAAGGTCAAAAATGCAAAAGTAAAGCATCGGATCTTGCAAGGAGTGCACGAAATCACGATTCCGTGTGCTTGAGATAGTTTGAAATCATTCCATGCGCAAAAACAACAGTTTCCTTATTTCCCCATTCACTTTTAATGGTGAGGTCACGTGACCTCGAAGAGTAGCAGGCATTAGCAAAAATTGCGAGTAGGGCATGACAGAAAGATGATTGGTGGTTTGTATGGCATGGCCATTTTTAACGGCTCGAAATAACATTTCTCAAAAAGTCTAACTAAAGAGCAAGTTGTTGTTGATTATCACTGACTTGTGTTTAGGGGTTAATAATGACTGAATTTTTGAGTTTGGCCCAGAAATGTTGACAGCATTGTGTGCGTTGATCAATTCTGAGCTCAGGGACATATATTTCATTTAGATTATAAGCGTTTGTTTTTCACAACTTCCAGCGTTTTAAAGAGCGCCGGGCCTTCAGTAGAGCGGCGAGGTGACAATTGCCCCTACATCATGTGGTTTACTGGCGCATATCTCGAAAAGTAGCAGGGAAAAGCAGCAAAGCACCTATATGGAATAAAAGATGAGTAATCAGAGGCTAGTATGAAATGTTCATTTTTAGCGGCTCGAAATAACGTTTTTATAAAAGTCTAATTGAAAAATTGGATATGATTTTAAATTACGTCTTGCAGCTGCTTGCAAACAGCTAGCATATCTTGCAGAAAAGCGATGCAATATGTCAGAATGATGTTGGCACAGTGAACAACAGTGCCCTGAACTAGTCTGACAGGAAATTTAGTTCAAAACGACGATTGGTCAACTAATAAATTACCACTAAAGTTCATCATTAAAATCGGTAAATGTGGTGGCCTATAGAGAGTCTAAATTGTCTTGTGTTTGGTGACAACTGACGACCTCAATTTTGACCTTAGGCCAAAACTAGCATCGGAATCGTATTCTTCAATCAATTTGGGATTAAATGATACCTATTTTGTTCATATTGCGGACAGTCAGTTTGGGGGAATTTCTAGCGCTTTTTCAGGCTGCCGGCCTACAGTGGGGCGCCTGGGATCGGCCGCCCCGCGTGGTCGTCTCGCAGCACAGTCTCACCTCCCACCGCTCCGGGGAAGCGTGCGTCCTCACGGAGAACCGAACTGTGCTCAGCTGCGCAGCCCGGCCGCTCAATGAGCAGCGAGAGAGTGCCCCCCCCCCCCCTCCTGGCGCCTCAGGAGGGGGTGCAGTCGGGGGAGTGGGTGGCCGCGCCAACCAGCGGCGCCAGAAGAACAGGCGTTACCATCGCAATCGTAATGCGCACAGCCGCCACACATCACATGCTGGAATGCTGAGGGGCTCAGGCCGAAGCTGGCGGAGCTCCAGAGCTGGCTCCACACGAACAAGAAGGAGGTCCTCCTGGTACCGAAACCACCCTTGTTGCGCAGTTGGCAAGTGCGTTCGCATTTGGTGTGCGAGGTCCTTGGGTCAAAGCTGAAATCTGACAGCGTTTTCCTCGGCCGGCTCCTACCCAGGAGATGGCAGGACCTGGGGCGTAAGACGGTTCGAAAAATCGATTTTTGGAAAGTGCAGCCTACAACAAGTGGAAAAGTGGCCTCATACCTTTAGAACACCACACGCAAAATTTTAGTGCGCTTGGAGAAGTGCCTACATGGGCGCTTTGCAGCTGAACAAACCACTGCACCCACGTTTCAGGCGTTGCGTTGCAGTCTCCCATTTTTTTTTAATCGCTCGCAACGCTGCACGCCCAAACACTGAAATAATGCTGGTTTACATCACAAAAGTTGCAATTGCACAGACGTTGCCGCAAAAGCAACTCGAGACATCACCTGCTACCTTGTTATGGAGCTGTTGGATGGCCCTGGCCAAATTTTCTTCATCATTAATTGTTTTGATATCTGCCGTAACCTGCTGCTCAAAATCCGATGTTCTCTTCGATATAAAAGCAGCCAACTCTCTCCGAAGCTCTGTGAATAAAAGCCAAAGTCAAAAACGAATCAAAAAATAAAACACAGCTATTAAAAGGTATTCCTTCAAACATTCCTTACTTTACAATCGTCATATAAAATATACCATACAACTAGTTAGCAGTGGAGTCATGCATCGCTATTCATCCTATAAAAACGTACCGCGTAGGAGTTTCGGTCAAAATTAACACATACGAGGCCTGTCCAATGTTCATACACAGTAACTATCCAAAAATTTGCCCGCTATACCTTAGGGTGCGTCAAAAGTTTTGATACCTTACGAATCGTCCCTTCCTTTCAGTAAAAATAATACAACAGGTTCATTACACCGGTCAATATGTTCTCCATGAAGCTGGGCACAGCGTGAGACACCATGGGTCTACCTGTGACGCCCCCCGTCCCCTTAACCCGCGACCGCCTGGGGGGGGGGGGTCGGATCCAACCCCCCTCCGTTTTTCTCGAATAACTAATGAACCGCTTACGCTATCAACTTGAAACTTGGCATACCTTCTCCCTCATCAATTTGACGTCTCCTGTGTAATTTTTAAGAATTTTTTTCCAAATTTTTTGAGATATATCGATTTTAGTGATGTAACTAGATGGCGTTTTCAGTCAAAAAGTGGTAAATGTTTAAAAAATCACAAAAAAATCAGGGTTAAAAGCAAAGTGCAAATTAAGGACATGAATAGACGCTAGGGTGGCACTTAATTTCGACTTTTTTAATTTTGACCGGGACGGGTGGCCATTATGTTCTACCTCACGAAAAAATGATCTGTATGAAATTTTATCAAAAAATATTTATATTTAGAGGTAGCTCAATGGGGTCATACTTGGTACACATTGACAAAACGTATATTGTGAACGGGAATTCAGATGTGTATCGCGCCTTTCCAAGCATTGTCATATTTGAGCTGTAACACGTTTAAATGAATGATTGATGCCTTCCTATTTGTTTCATAACCACAGTGTTTCTCGCCGCAAACGCGCTGTGACGCAATGCGTGATTCAACTAATGGCCGTTCAGCGTAGTTTAGCTTATTTTGTTCGGTGACGGTAGCCCGCTGCCAGGCGTGTAACTTCAGCTCTTCTCTCGTATTACGATGGATGGGAAGGGTCACGAGACCGCTAGCACTTACCGGGGTTACATTAGCAAATAAATGCGTATCAGGAATGGTTTTTCTTCGCTGAGTACCTATAGTGATCCGTTTGTAATACGCATTTACTCTGCTCATGTATTCCCGGTTACCGATGCGCAGGGGGACACTGCCAGTGTACGGCCACAGGGCAGGTCTCCGTGTCTTCGCGATGTCAGGGAGGAGACGTGCACGTGAAAAAGAAAGTTGTGTTTTGCTAAGCCATTTCAGAACATTTTTCGCTAGCCAGGCTTAAATTGACAGGCCGCAACAAACGCTGTTCTAGAATCCCTCGATGAGTGAGAGTTGAAGGATTGAGTGAAAGCGCTCAGTTTTGACACAAGTGCATCGAACACCAGCCTCAATGCAGGAGCCTGCACGATCATCGAGCAGCGGCTCGAGCAGGACTTGCTCCATCTGACTTGCCACGACATTTACGAGTTTGTTCTATAAAGACATTTTCAGCCTGCCTCGGCCCGTCCAGCGGCCCGGACGTTGTTTTGTTTAAGCGCTTCCATAAAAAGTGAGCGCCTAGATGGAACGAAGCCATAAGCCTTCAAAAACTGTGACATGTCCCACCTCTACAACCCGCGTGATGCTCTTGCACAGTTCGGTCGTATATCCTTGACCGCCAGCACTCACGCGACAACGGTGAGATGCTGGAGCTGGTCATCACTGTCCTCCGTAGTGCACCTCTACTATAGCTTCAGTCTCTAGCAAGTCCACGGAAGACTTCATCATATCACAACTGGCTTCACAAGGTTCTTCAGCATCCTCGGTATGGACACCGACTTCCTCTTGAAGGATTCGATTCTTTGGGAGGTCAAGCCATTCTACAACGCCGTCATGCGCTACATGAGGTCTCTTCACGCCTCAACGACTTCGCGGAACGAGGCATTTTGTTGATGGCCAGGAAATCGATCTGACCCCCACGAAGGATAAAGACTAACAGCAGCTCCTCTTGTAGGTCGTCGAGGAGCAAAGACGCAAGCATTCTGACATACGCAAGGGGCATTCCACGTCAAATCGAACAAAAATCGGCTGTTTTGCACCTTACCATCAGCGATTTCATTATTGATTTGTGAGCGAGTTCCTGTGTCGCCCCGGACATTACATTGATGTTTTTTGCACATTCTGACCACAGGTCTTCTAAATATAGGGCATCAAATTTTTACAAAATGTTGCATCCTTATTTTTTTGAACGACCATAACTTTGGTTGTACTTGTTTGATTTGAATGAAATAAACCTTACTGTTTAGGTAATTTCTTAAGCATTTATTTAGAATTGCATCGACTTTAATATATGACCCTGAAATTTGCTTAACTCTGTTCTTAAGCACAAAAATTGAAATAGCAAAAAACACGCCACCTTCGATTTGGCTCATTTTCATATATTTTATTGCCTACCATATTCTTAACAACCTGTGAAAAAATTAGAGTGGGCCATTCATAAGTTTTGAAGAAAATGGCACATATGCAAACGTATGTTAGCACGCGCAGTGGAGGGGGAAGAGTGAATTTCGCCCCACCCCTCCTGTTTTTCGCCAATATCTCATAATATTGATGCGAAATTACTTATGGCTACCTGTCCAGAATTGAATTGCACATCTCATCGTGCAAGCAATAAGAAAATCGGTTCACAACTGTTCTAGTAATAGCGGTGTAAAGTGAACATCCTGTCGCCGCGGCGACGCGGCGACTCGGCAGCCGGCGCCGACCGCTACGTGCCGCCTGAATTGTAGACTGTGCCGGGACGGAACGGAACGGTTCCGTCTTTACATCGCGCTCCTTACCGCTGATTACGTTCGATTCGCGTCAAATTTTGTGAGAAGACTAAGAAATGTACAGGCAATCTTATGATGAAAGAATTCTGAAAATAGGTTGGTAAACAATTGAAATATGAACGTGTAAACACAAAATTGTGACTGCTGCGTTTCCCGCGTCGGCCGATCCCGCCTCAGCCGGCGACATGTTACTCTTAGCAGAACTCTAACTGCCATATTTATCATCGGATTAACTAGAAATTCCCCATACATACTCAAAAATGTATGTTCTTTCTTATAGTGAAGATCAAAAGACGTGAAGATATCGTTGCGTGATAATGTTTTCGTTGAATTTATTTCATGATGCATTTCCACACGGCTCAAAATTCACCGCAAAATACCGTTTGCCTGAGACACTTTTACAATGGAACGTGAATGCTTGACTACGATGACTATGCATTTCCATTCTCGCAGAGTTTGGGATATCACTAATCAGCAATCATTCATTTCAGAAAGTGTACACAAGCAAGCATGTCTTGACTCTGTCTTTCAAGGTCACGCGCGGTTGCGTGATGTTGATGCATGAAAACGGCGTTTGCCGCGAAAGTTATGAATGGCCCACTCCAATTTTTTCACAGATGGTTAGGAACATTGTGACGGACATAATATGTAAAAATTACTCAAATCGAAGGTGGCGTGTTTTTTGCTATTTAAATTTTTCTGTTTTAATTCAAGGTCAAATGCATTTCAAGGTCACTTCAATTTAATATTATAATTAAAAATCAAAGCCTTATCAATTGCCTACAAGACCCTGTTAATATCATTTTGATACCAGAAAAGGAACCAGAGTTATAAGCATTTAAAAAAATGATGTGTGGCATTTTTGGCTATATTCGATGACCTATATCTCGGCGATACGTTATCAAATTTCGAAAATATTACACGTAACTCAGTTTTGAACCATGCCCAGTCTGCCTACAAATTTTCAGAAAAATCGAAGGGGATGACGGATTTCGGTGTTTGATTTGACGTGGAATGCCCCGCAAGGCGATCGTAACTTCTAAATAGGCAAGACTAGCCGACGAATGATGTGTACAAGTGTTGGCTGATTACGGATGATACCGCTTTCTCTTTTCATGGAGTTATGCAGTAAGTTATGCATACCTTCAAAAGAATTATGTACCTCATATGTACCTATATATGAGTTTTAGGTGCTGAAACGTTTCGATAAAGTCTTGACAACGTCCAATGTCATTGTGAACATCAGAAATACACGTGGAAATTAAAATTTCGGCAAAGTTGTGTTTTTCACGAAAATGTGAACTTTGACCTGGTTGAGCTACCTCTAAATAAACATATTTTCCAAAAATATTTTACACACAACGTTTTCTCGGGTGGTAGAACAGATTGGCTGCCCGTCCCGTTGAAAATTCTCAAAACGAAATTTTAGTCCCGTTTTAGTGCCACCCTGATAGACGCAGCTTAACGAGTTCTTTAAAATGGCTATCTCGGATTTTCCATAAAATGCTTTTTTCACCGCTAAAAATTCAAAAACCTATATTTTTTTGAAAACAGCTAATAAAATCCAAAATTTTGAGAATTTCCAAAAACCGGAATATATGTTATAGAGCTCTATAAGAACATTAGATGTCCCAAATTTCAACTTTCTATCTTGATTTTTGACTCCCAAATTGTAAAAAATAGCTCCAACATGCATAGGGCATGGTGACGTCATACCTAAGCATTTTCGTGAATTAGAGGCACCTCTGAACATCGCATGTGAAAACAAATGGCACCACTAGATTCCTGGGACAAAGCTCGTCATAAAAAGTGCATTTTTATGTCAAAAATAAAAAGTTGAAAAATTGACCTTTTTTCTTAGCCCTCGTTTAGTTATTAGTTATGTATGGGATAAACGATTTTTTATGCTTTCAATGCATACTTATCACCAGCACAGTGACTTGCAGTCACATATAACCATTACCATCGGATTCGGCGTGAAAAATAAGCCATAAAACATGTGTAGTACGCCCATGTAGCAGAAAGTGAAAACCATGACCTTTCGTGACCTGACCTGACCTTGACCCGTACTTAGTATGACCCC